AATATTTTGCATTTGGAGGGAGAAAACATCATCCGAAACATGTCTGTGTTGTCACTTAAGGTGATCAGAGGATTGCATTTTGTCATATTTATTATTTATTTGAACACATAAATATTGGTACAAGGGTGCACCAAATATATATGCGCCACACAAAACAATGAGAATTTGAAGAGAAGGAGAAAAAAAAGTAATAAACGTGGGGAATTATAAAAAAAAAGAGAGAGATAACAATAATGGGGGAAACGGACAGGTACAATCAGAAGAAATCTTTCAGTTAAGGAAGATACAACCACTTTTTATGAAGAAAGTAAAAGTAGGTTACAGCAGGATCGCCACTGGCTTCTATTCTGAGCCATATCTGATAACGTCTCCAGCCACTGTTGTGCACCATCTCTAGGACCCCCGCCAGGGAGTCTTGAAAGACCAACAGAAGCCAGCCCTTTGCAGCTTTCTTTCATACCACGACACCATGTCATATACTGACCACCTCTCCGCTTTTTCCAACCAGTCCCAGAGTCGGCAAATAATGCACGACGTGGAATTCTCTGGGACGACATTCGTAAAACATGTCCAAGCCACCGAAGTCGGTGTTTCAAAATGGTGACACCAATTGCATTATCGTCTCTGTGCCCGAACACACGATGCCGAACCTCTGCACTACTAACATGGTGTTGCCACTGGATGTCAGCGATCCTTCGGAGACAACGATGATCGAACACAGAGAGTCCTCTAACATCCTCAACTCGGAGAGGCCAGGTTTCACAAGCATAGAGCAAAACTGCTCTCACTGACTCGTTGTAGATCCAACTTTTACAGCCAGACTAAAATCACGAAGGCGCCAAAGATGGCCCAGATTGTCATAAGCCGCTCTGGCTTTCACTATACGTGTATTGGTCTCATCACTCACGCCACCACCAGCACTTATGCAGCTACCTAGATACACGAACTTCTCAACTACTTCTATCTGCTCACCATCCAGAGTGAGTACAGGATTAGAAACCTGCCAGTCTTGTAGAAGAACTTTGCACTTCGAAGGTGCAAAGCACATACCATACCTACGGACACTGATTGCCAACTGATTAAGTGCGAATTGCATGGCTTGGGCATTCCCGCACAGTAAGACAATTTCATCCGCATACTCAAGGTCGAGAAGTCTTTCTCCAGGCAACAGATCCACACCACCATTACTTACATCCATCCGAATTGTTTCCAGAATGTCATCGATGGCAAAGTTGAAGAGGAATGGTGAGATTGGGCAACCCTGCCTAACCCCACTGCTCGAATGGAATAGAGGAAAAAGGTGATTGTATGCCCTCACTCTGCCTGAAGTGTTTGTATATAGGGCTTTTAGGATGTTAATAAACTTCTCAGGCACACCCTTCTTCAATAGACAATCCCAGAGAACAGTTCTGTCCAACGAATCGAAGGCAGCCCTGATATCAAGAAACACTACGATTGTTGGCCTTTGATAAGTATGGCGGTGTTCTAACGTTTGGCGGAGGGTGAAGATATGATCAATACATCCTCGACCAGAACGAAACCCAGCCTGCTCCTTGCGAGTCAATCTTTCTCGGGTTTTGAACAACCTACGAAGTATAACGGAAGCCAATAGCTTGGACGCAGTCGAGAGTAGACTTATCCCCCGATAGTTGTTACAGGAACGACGTGAAACCTTTTTAAAGATAGGGACAACTATCGACTCATTCCATGACGTTGGTACACTCTCTAGTTCCCTAGTCAAAAAGTCACCACCATCTTTAAGAAGAGCCGGAGGTACGTCGTCTGGGCCCGGTGATTTGTAACGTTTCAAGAGTTGGAGTTCCTTGCGGACTTCCGCCTCATTTGGTGGATCAGTCGTCACCGACCATGGAGGGCAGGACAGCGTGACCGTTGTTGCTGGAGCAACAGGTCAGTTGAACTGCTCTTCGAAGAATTCTGCCCATCGTCCAAGACGTCGATGGATGTTAGTGATTGGCATCCCGTCATCCTCGCAGATTGTTTCGCTCACACCAGACTTCTTGCTGGCAATGGCTCTGATGAGTTGGAAGAGCATCCGGTAATTACCAGATGCAGCTGCTGCTTCCAACTCACTGGCACGCTCCGACCACCAGGCTTCTCGGTCCTTACGCAAGCTTTGCCCGATTTCATTACGTAACATCCTTCGTCTGTGGTCAAACTCACGGTCACCCGGAGTAGACCGACGGGCTTCAATCAGTTGTAAGGAACCAGAAGAAACCCAGTGCTTGTAAGCGGGACGTTTCGCAAACCCACAACTGACTTGACCCGCCATTTTCATGGCGTCATGCAATTGCAACCAATGCTCATCTATACTTTTTGGTGGAATGGTAGCTAGCCTAGAAGCTAGCTCGGTTCGGTACATACTAGCAACAGAATTTGCAACCAGCTTGCTAACATCAATCCTTTGATGGCGGTCACTTCGTTGTCCACTGAAAAGTAGGGTAAGATTGGCGCGGACCAGAGCATGATCAGATTCCAGATAGGTACTCCAAAAGGAGCGGCAGTCTTGTACACAACCACGCCAGCGGTAGCTGATCGCGATGTGATCAATCTGAGTCCAGGCTTGAGATGCGGAAGGGGGACGCCAGGTGGCACATCGGCGATGACTGTGCCGAAAGTTAGTGCTAGCCAGAAACAGGTTGTGGTCTGTGCATAGTTGCAGTAGACGTTCCCCGTTATCTGTCCTGCGACCAACGAGTCCCCATCGGCCACCTAAACGACTCTCTTCTGTGCCTAGACGCCCGACCTGAGCATTCAAGTCTCCAGCTAGTACTACAATATCTGTCGAACGCACTTTCTGGAGAAGAACAGTTAGCTGATGGTAGAACTCGTCCTTGATTGCATCCGGGCTGCAATCTGTCGGGGCATAGGCGGAGATGACGAAAAGACATCGTTTCTCACGCCTATTTCTTCTCACTTTGATGGAACTTTCTAATCTAACAGCACATAACCGACTGTTAATGGGGATCCAGTCGACTAGTGCTGCCTCAGCTCTTGCGCTTAGTGCGACACCAACGCCAGCAAGACCAGACGAAGATGCCACAGGGTCCCCGGATAAACGCACATAAAACAAGCTTTTTGAAGTGACAGATGGAGAGCGAACTTGTAGTACTTCACCTGAGTTTTGAATACGGGTCTCGGATAGACAACAAACGTCGATATTAAGGCTTTCCAAAGATATAGCCAACCCTATCTGTTTTCCGACCTGCATAAGTGTGCGAACGTTGAAGGCAGCCAGTTTGAATGGTGCACGTGGTTTCAGAAAAACTGCTTCAGTACACATATTCGGTAGTAACATACAATTTTCAACCAGGCAGTGACTCGAGAACGTTTAGATAAAGCTGAATTTTCACCATAGGCGAGCTGTTGTCTGAGTCGAAACGGATACAAAAAGTAGAAATAGGAGATAGTGAATAAATGACGTAGTAAATAATAATAATAATAACAATAATAATAATAATAATAATAATACCAGTCATTTCAATGTTAGTCGGAGAGAAACGAATATTTTCTATAAGCAGATAGTTCATCATAGTTTTAGTGTGTGGGCTGAGATACTGCCCGGGCGCCCAGACCGAAGCAGGTGGTTTTCTTAGGGGGCCACACCCCGAGCCTTTGACCTAAAGGTCTAGTCCACAAGGCAGTGGAGCATCGTGAGGAGATGCAGTCCCATGGAAGCCGGTGACCAAAAGTTGGTTCATACGCCATTTGTTCCCGCAGGATACTGGAGCCCATGTGCACCATAGAATTGGGATCCGGTTATAGCGCCGGACATTCGCTTTTCGTCCTCTCATTTTCGTAGACAACACCCCCGCCACGAGAAGGCAGTGAGTAGGACTTCCCTGGCAGAGGCTGTATACGTGTGAGAGTATTTCGAGAGGGAGGGCGAACCCTCCCCGCTCTCGGCCATACCAGGGCATTTGGGGGCTTTCGAGAGGGAGGATGAGATAGGAATAGGGTATAAGGTAAGGATGATAAACCTATTGATGAGGTAGTAAATCTTCATCAACTGGGGTGGTCGGAACATACGTTACGCATCTCCAACGACCACCTACCTCGACGGAAGATGTTGTCTATTGTGGAAGGTTGGGAGAAAGCTAGGGGTGGGCAAACCAAAACATGACACCAGTCCATGAAGTCACGGGCAATCGGACTGGGCTAAGTTAAAAGGTATCATAACCAGTGACTAGAGATTCTAAATGAAATGCCATAAAATTGTTTGCAATAACGCATATGCATCCAATCTTTGTCTTCCCTCAGGTTCCAAGCTTTTGAATTTCTTGTGATTTTTTAGTCCTACTACTTTGTTTTATTGAGTAATATCTTTGATGATGAATCTTTTCTATCACTATTAATGCTGTCACTACCTATACTGTTCTCTGTGTTAATGGGGTATGGCCACTTGAACTGATGTACATACGTACGAGGTTCTACGTTGCGACTAACTGATTGATAATATAAAATATGATTTGACAAATTTCGTAACCACTTATAACATTCTAAAGTTTAATTATAAAACGTGAGGTAAACATAATACAGTTCGAAATTTTAATTATATCTTCGGTAGAAAACTGTGGTTTTACCTACTTAGTCAATAAAAATCCGGCGTCATCATCGTTTTTACATACATTCTGATAATACATCATTTGTTTACAGTGCATCATTGACAAGAATTGCTACTTCTATTCAATCTAAAATGATGTGAATAATCTAGTGATGACGAGTAACCAGAGTTTGTTGATAGAGTTAAATGACAGCATTACCACTATCCAGCTATTCAAATAGTTTAAACATCTGGTTTTGCTGAACTGATCGATATAATTTTAGAAGATGAGATGATAGTTTGAATAGTTACAGACACAACTGGTTTCCTAACTGCACAGATAACAAGAAGTACTATAATTTTTGAAATAACATTAGTATTCATAATACCTTGGTTGGCTATATGACAAATAAAAACGCTAAGTGAGGATAACTCTTACCATTTTTTGTCTTTCAGCTAAACGACGTCGACGTTCTTGTTCACAAGCTTCAGCAGCTTTTGTAGTTTCAGATAATCGATTAGCAGTGTAAATTCTTCGAATCTTTTTACGGCCTTTAGCATCTAATGCATCGTCGATTATTTCTTCATTGATTGTCTCTTTGCCTTTATTGTCCTGTAAATATTCCTCTTCAGCATTATCGTCACTATCATCTGATTTTGCTTTGCGTAGACGTCTACGTCTTTTTGTATTATATGATTTATGTCGGGGTTTTATGCTGTTCATTTCATCAGCTGATGAATCAGTACACTGTGCTTTTTTCTTCACTTCTTTTTCATGATCACTACCATCGTCATCGTTATCTGAAAGACGAAATGTTGGTTTCATAGATGATAGTCTTTGTGACTTTCTAATCCTACTTGGTGTTGTCCTATTCTGTTTAACATTTCTAGATCCTATCTGTTGTATGGTAGATTTTGATGAACTTGATGCACTTTGTTCACTTTCACAATCATCAGCATTATCATCATCATCATCATCATTATCATTGACATTACCAGCATTGTCAACAGTATCAACAATATTATCAATATTATTTTCATCAGATTCAGAGCTGGAGAGTAAATGTCGTATACGCTTTGTACGGTTAGTGGAAGATAAAAGATTCGCAGCATCCTTACTGTTTGGATTGGATTCTGATTCACTCCCTTCATCAGAATTATCAAGCAGTAAAGTTGTTTTATTTGGTTTATTTTCACAATTATTGACATTTTCGTTGACAACAGATTTAGCAAGACTAAAAGAGGATATTTATTTATAATGATTAACATTCATTCGAGATAACGGGTAATTCGGAACACATAATGTAATGAATAATTTAGATTACATGAAAATCTCTCAAACACTACACAGACGTGTAGAAATGTAAACATAATTAAATCATAATATGATAGACACTAGGTATTTAAACCAACTCAGTGCGACAACACTTAGACTGATACGAATCGATTCCATGATGCAAAATAGACAATTCTACAGGAGAACGTCTATTGCCTGAAAGCCTAACTGATTAGAACTTTGATTGTAATACTGTGTAACGTGGTTTTGAACCTCATAAAAACTAAGCATTCTTTCAGAACCGTAGGTATGTTTTGCTGCAGACAGCCAACTAGCATGGAATCTGGATCCGTGACTAGCCGTCGATTATCAACATTGCGAAATTCACTTATATCAATCCGATAAAAAAATATTCAGTTAAAACCTCAGACATAAATCGTTGAAATAATGATGAACCGTTCTAAAAGCGGAAATTAACTATCACAAATAAGAAAAACGATCGTTTTTAGGACAACATACCAGTGGTACGTCACAGTTCGGATTAAGCAAATAAACGCCATAAAATCATGTGACTTACCGCGTTAAACAAATTATGGGATCAGATGGGGCTATGTTTTGTTTCAAGTCCATACATAAAAGTAGATTTTCGTGTAAATCATTTGATTTATTGCTTGATAAATCATGATCACTAGAAGCATTCTCATTATTATTATTATCGTGGTCGTCATCAAGTTTTGTAATACTGTTAGATGTAATAATTTTCCTATTTTCATCTGTTACAACTTTTGCATTACTATCTACAACACTTTCATCGTCATGATCATCATCATTATCATCATCATCTGAACTGGACTTCAGTAAATTATCACGAGCATTCAAATTATACAAATAATCATTTGTTTTAATTTCAAGTTGATTTTGTCGAGAGTTATTTACATCACTAACAGTAGTATTATCCCCAGCTAAATCATTTGATTCAGAACCGTCAAATGTAGCATCCACATTATTCTGAGATGAATCCAAGTTATCTTCAATAGACCATGAATCATCTTCAAAGTCAACTGGATTCCTATTACTTGTTTTGGTTCGATTTATTCGTTGATTAGCATTTTTATTTTCAGTATTCTGAAATTTTGGACAGAACAGTAAAGGATTTTAAGCAGTGTAAACAAATAAAAGGAAAACTTTGTTTTAAATTAAGTAATGAATGAAGATTAGTAGAAAAATAAGGAAAAAATTTAAATAATTAAGGAACTTTACAAAATCCATCCGTTTAACAAGAACTTTCGAAAAAGGGTTTTGAAACCTTTTCACTTTTTCGATATAATAGTACTACTACTAAACGGTGGGAGTGATTGGTATAACTGACAGGAAACAGTGACTAAGAAAGAACTCAAAGTCGGTAGCAATTACCTACCTTGCAGTCTTCTGTAGTATTTTGTATAAAACAACAGGGGATTTTTTTCATAAATTAGAAAATCCCCAAATTTTGTTTTTAATAGAGACGCCACTTCTAATGGTTTTAGTATAATTATACTTGCTAATTATTAGTGTTGTCTTATGACTCTATTTGCACTTCTAGCTAGTCTATGCCATCTTTCGTTGTTTAATGTGCCAAGTATTCTTACTCTCACATATAAAGAGATGAATAAACAGGATTTTTCATAAGTATTTTTATGATTTGCATTGAAAGGCAATTTTTATTAGTTGACAAGATACTGTTCTATTTTAGCAGCCAATCATCATTAGTACAGGGGATTGTGGAGACTGTTGAGTCGTGTAGTGTATATCACTGACTGTAATTACAAACCAACTGAAATCCGATAATCAATTGACAATTGTTTTGTTCTAGAATAGGACTCTTCAATAGTAGACATTCACAAACTTCTCAGAAGTTGAACTCAAAACCTTCAGGCCTCACCAAGGAGGCTTAACCACTACAATCCTATCCAACTCTCGATAGTACAATTTGATAGGCAGACACGTTCTCAAAGTAAACAAGAATAACTACTAGTGTGATTCGGACAACCCACATCTCCACTCTTTCATTCATACGTAGTTCTTGATTATTCGCTTAGACTAGTGTGATTGTGATGATATGTATATAAACAAGTTATAACAATTTACAACTCTTTTGATAATCGCATCTAGGACATATGTCTCATGATGACATTCTTCTGATTATATCTTGCCATGTCAGGTGTTTGTCTCTTTTTCACTGTTAACCATGAATTCCTAACTCAAGGTTATGATTTCAGGACTGAGTGAGTAGATGGTGTGTATAAACAAAAATAAGGTAGCTAGGTTTGTATTGCTACTTCATATTTTCTGGTGGATTGACAACAGATATATCATTAAATGATTAAAACCGTCTTAAATTAAAGAAAAATACTTACACGACAACCATTACTGTATAAAGAAATAAAGGAATAGTTTAAAAGACAGATGACATAAGCAAATGAAAGTTACCTGGATGATTTTTTTCTGTACCCGAGAATTCGGATCCGACTCAGCTAAAAGTTAAAGTTGATAAAAGTACAATGAATTTTTTATGATAAATAAGTTGAGAAATAGAACGAATAGTATGTTAACATTTGTTTGACAACTTTCTAACCATTTGAGGACACCGCTGATAAAATCCCTTTAACAACAGAAAGCAAGTAGTTATGTTCTGGTTGCACTGAAATGTTTAATGTCGACTAACTAAACAGTCCACGAATTCCAACGAGCGGATTTAGAAAATATCAACCGACGAATGGATAGTGGTAAGGTACCTTCGGATATAAATTTTATACATGAAAGTCTTAAGTGTGAATAGATTGTTGAAGTAAAAAAAAAATCAGGAAAAATCGTTTTTTAATATTAATAATTATTTCATAACACTGTTCAAAAAATGCCAGTTTGAGAAAAAAAACATCGGATTAAAGTTATAATATTTACATAAATAAAGGTTTCAGACCATATGAGAAACACCAATATCCATGCAAAATGTTCATTATCAAATAACCAAATTAACTGACCACAATTTTTCTCATCGACAGTAGACTGCTCTGTAAAACTACGATTGATAGTTTTGGCACAAATACTTTCTAGATTATGCATTTCTTTCTCCAAATCTTGTTCTTCTGGTGACTGTTCGCGAGATAACTTGTCCTACAAAGAAAAAGATGTATACTTTTAATAATACATATACAGATTATTAATATACTTAGTATTTCAAAACAGTTCCTATACAGACGAGAGTAGTTTATAATAAAAACAGTAAACACACTCTATAGAGTAGTGTAAAATTTTAGAATTCTAAGAAAATTGTTTGTGAAGTAACTTAATATAATTGAATTCATGATAATAAAACGCTTTGAATAAAATCAAACCCGCAATATTCACTCTCAGACTGTAACGCGGAAACCTTCAGTTAGTTAGACATGATCTTTGATTTCCTTTCCGACCTTTATCTACTGGAACTCCTATACACTGATTTCATTTTCTACAGTAAGATGATGCACTGAGAGGTAACTGCCTAGAATAAGCCCTAGTTGTCCCGTGTAGTGAATATAATATTTTTCCAACCTTGAGGTTAGTTACAGAACACAGATGGTGGCTAAATACACTGATGAGACAAATATAATTTACACAACAAAACTGGAATAAGTGTATTATAGACTAGCCTTTTACAATGATGTAATTATTCTGCACAATCACTGTAAATAAAACCAGTACACACGTTAAATGAAAATTTAACAATATATAATACATCTAGAGTGAAAACTAACTAACACTACTCAACCATCTAAATTTTATTAAGCGATTAAAGTTTGTAAAACTATTTACTATATTATAACCCAAACATTTCAACCATAAACATTAATGACTCCAATAAAACAATATGTGGGAAATAAGTAACACAGAAAAAACAATAAGTTAATTAGCTAGACCTAAAAGTCATTTCTCGAATTTAACATTATAAAAAAGCAATTTTTGAGGGGATACGATACTTACCTGATGATTTATAATGCTTAGTTCCTTAACAATATTTAATTTACGTCTTTTCCCGTTATCTGCCTCCGGCTTCATCCCCACCTCATCTAGTTTGTGTTTAACACTTTTATTATTATTGTTAGTAGTAGTAACAGTAGTAGTAGTAACTGTAGTGACGTAGTTGTCATTATTTTTGTTACCATGAGAACCCGCTGTTACAGGTGCAGATTGTTGAGAATGCATTGGTGTAGAAGAACAATCGAATGATACTGTCTTTGGTGTAGAAACTCCTGGTGTAGATACAGTCCCATTGGGATTATCTTCTTTTGTCAAATCGATTGTTACATCATTTGAAATACTTGATATAGGCTTAGGAATAGAAACATCACTTAACTGGGGAAAAACGCCTAAGGAATGAGATTGGATTGTTTGTTTATTTCTACTTGTATTAATGATGACATTCTCCTCTTCTTGCATTCTTGCAACAAGATTGCCTAATCGTGTGAATAAGTGAAATCTATAAATGCCTTGAAAAGACTGAGCTATTTTATCTAGATCCATCTGAGGTGGGTTACGCATCAAATTATTCTCTAAACGACGTATATCTTTGGCAAATATATCTAAACACCTTTGTGAAGCTCGTAAAGCTGTTTTAACATTAACTCCGTTTACACTAGATATTTGATTGAAAATGCTATGAAGATCGATTGATTCTAAAGTGGCTAATGAAGTATGATTGGTGATGGCAGTTGGAATATTGACTTTGTCGCATTTATTAATTTCATTAACATTTACTCCATCCGAAGACATATCAGACAACTGGAATACAGTGTTCTTATTAAGAATATTATTACTAGAAGAGTGAAATATATTGGAAGATGAGATCAAACCTAAAAGGGAAATAGATGATAAATTAATTACTACTGAAGACAAATCGTTTCCTTTGTCGTAAAACATTATTATGAAGTAATAAGCATGTGTTGAGCAAAGTACCTTGAATAGACACTAAACACTCGGTAGACTTTCTATTTTTACTACACGCTACTGGACTGAAGCTTTAAACGCTATGATGATATAGTGCATCATGTTGTCATGAAATATATTTCGACTTTCATTTTTTGCTTAATAGATATTAGTTCTACACTGATAAATCAAGTATGGTGGTTACATGAAATGGAATCTTTGAATAGAGGATAGTTGTGTTGGATTAGCATCTATTGGTTCATTATAACTATTTGAGAGTACCTCATCACACATGGCCAATAACAAAGAAATAATTTTTTTATAACCTTCTATAGTATATTTTATAAATAGTTAAAAACTTCATCTAACCCAGTGAAATCTCCCTCTTTTGTGATTTAATTTAAACTGCATTGTTGAATACAAATCCCTTTTCTTGTATTATTTTAAATTGCTATCTCAGAAGTAGCGTAAGCAATTTTGCGGTTTTAAAAATCTCATCAAATACCACACGAAGCAAAGTGTAATTCAGAGTTCTCTGTCGAGTATATTGAAACACCGAATGAAATGTACATCACATAGTCTTTACCAAATAACAAAACTCAATAAACTGGAAAAAAAATCGTGAAATAAGTAGAAAGTTATTTATATTGTGTGAATGATAGTTAAAGTAACACTCATTACCCGGATTTCAGTAGACATCAGAATCCAAAACTTCTATTGGGTCACTAACAGTAAAGCGTTTAAGCCATTAAATTAAAAAACAGGACAAAAAATCGATGGAAACTCCTAAGCATTTACACCAAGAGAACAGCAATTAAGTCAAAAACAGAGTTGACAATCCATAGAAAATAGGGAATGTAGTATCATGTCAGTAAAGAAAACTTACCTTCTGTGATATCAGAATCGTTGAGGTTAGTGTAATTAGACGATAAATCTGGTACATCACTACCATTAGATTCACCATATTGACCTTTAGAACGAGATCGCCATGTTTCTTGAGCTTTCGTCGACCGACGCTTTCTTATGATTTCATACTCCTCAACTTTAGCGACAATCTGGTAAACACAGGGATAAAGAAGTAGTTAAAAATGCCAATGAGACTAGGCAATAAATTTGCTCTAAGTAATACTCAAGAATTATCCTTAAAAACAGGCAATTAGTAAAATGACATAACAGTAATGACGAATACGTGGGGAAAGAAAAATTTGTTTTGAGGGGAGATTTTGCTATGAAGCATTACAGTTAGTATCTGAAACCTTATTACTAACTATTCGAACATTAAACTATAGTGTGTGCAATAAAAAATCAGAAATTCTACAAATTTTCAAGGCTTATCTTATATATAGTTGTTAATTAACACAAATAAATGGCACTCATCAACTGTAAACAAAACTCGTCTTGAATAAATCAATCCTCTTACTGACTTGAATTGATGACACTTTAGTGTGTTTCCCTTGGAAATCTGTTAAACTAATTTGATTTACAAGAATAGGTTACCTAAAATATATCACGAAAATGCATCTAACCATTAGTGGTTTAAGTAAGAGAAAATGTCAATAAAAGACCATCTAAAGTTGATAAGGGAAATCAGAGAAACAATAATATATGTACCCCTGCCTCTAAATGTTATCGGAGAAAAATGACTAAGATAAATAATTGTAAATTGGAGATAAATGTTATAAATAAAAGCTGACCTTGGAGCAGTTATCCTGTAATGTTTTGATAGGCGTAGGATCACATACAAAGCAATTCCAAGTATCTGATTCATCCAGAGACTCAATATTGCGCAAGTAGGTTCTACCCAAGTTTTGCTTGATACATTTCTTGCAAATCGCAAACGAACAAGTATCACAGCATACAAGATCTCCACCGTCTGAACACCACTTACAATTATCATCCTTCCCTGCATCATCTTTTGCAAAGTTCTGGGTTTTACAATACCTAGTGCAACGCTAATGTAAATAACTGTAAATACATACCAAAGAACTTACTTTACAGAGTATCACCTTCAAAAGTGGATGAACACTAAACGGCATGGAGAAAGGTTGTATTTTACAGCAACAAGCAGTGCACTTGACAAAGTCCATAACACCTGGACTGAAGCTAGTGCATATTTTGGATGAATAGTTGTTTCCGGTTTTCGCACGCCTTCTATGTGCATCGGATGCAGAATCAACGACTTCTGGTTCAACAACTGGAGTACCTATAGTAGGGAATAATCATTTTAATTTATGACATGCCATCTTGCAGAACAGGACGGCCTGAACTATCCATAAGAAAGAGAGGAGATATCTGCACAACATCAGAATCAGCATCACTATGAATAGCATCACAATCGTCGGGTACATTACTGCAAAGCTCCGAAGTGCCTTTATCTTCATCTACTTGATGTTTTACGGCGGACGGTTTTCTGTGAAATAATAATACACATCTAAGTAAAAGCCTTACTTCCGCATTATTTATTTTTAGTAAAGATTTTTCCGCATAGATATTTCTAGAAAAAGAAACGATATGATACGTAGTCGTATAAATTAGAAGCACATGCATAAGGGTGAACAAATTATAGTAATCTTAGAGTAGTAAAAAAAGAATACTGTGTTTAAATATCTTGTAGCCACAAAAAAAATGAATTCATTAGAATGGCCGGGTTCAGATATCTCATATGGAACACGCTCGAAAGTGTATCATATCACAAAAATACACTGAATTCTTCATTGATGCAGTTAATAACGAACGTTGAGTAAGTTAATATCTCGAAACCACCACTAGCCTCATTTTAAGAACAATAAGTGGTAACCGTACTGATCAAATTGTTTTCGATATATGCTGGAATATAGAATAAGCAATGTTGTGTAGAGCTAATAGGAAGAATCATTAAATGTTAGTATTGTTGAAATATTTCTGAACCAAGAAATTTCTTATTCAGAAGCATATTTTTCAGCTTTTAAACTTTTAAAGCACTGAGAGACTAAAACTAAACCAGTTGATTTGTTTTTAGCGTTCAGATATTTTAACGACTTTAGTTTGTTCAAATAAATATTACTACAAAAATAATAACTAGCAGAATACTGGGATTAAGCGAACTAAATACTACTACGTAAAACAATATCAATACTATCAGATGTGGTCGTATTTAAACATTGAAGTCGATGTTTCTGTCCATATGGTCCACAAAAAGCAGTGTGCTTGACATTTAAATAGCTTACTAACAAGTAACTTAAAATGAATTTCACCACCTACCGCCAAATATTAACACACTTTCGGTCACGCATTAAAAGTAACCGAGTCTACCAAAATGTAGTTTTTTTAAGAGATAAAAAGTTTTGTCGTAAACAGATGAGTAAACTTGTTTTGCGTGTTTTAGAAATTGTGCAGTCATAAACTAAGGTATTAAGTTACCCTAGCCAAATTTCATTTTAAACGAATAATTTTAGAATATTCTACATGGCTGTTACAGATAGCAAATTGAAGAATATATAAAAGAACGAACATTGTTAAGGCCAATCAACAATAAAGCAGAAGAAACATGTTGAGATCAATATCTTTATAAATTATGAATCAAGAAGTTTTTCAAAGGGAAAAGATATTTTCTAGTTCTCCATACCAACTAAAGTGAAGAGAAAAACACGTAAAGTAGAGACAAAGTTATTCGTCAACGCTACAGAGTTTGACATACTGAGCTACGAGCCAATCCTTTGATGCAATTCTTACACTACCACTTGATTGACTAAACGCTCAACAGCAGAGATATTAAGTTATGAGCCAATAGCTGCAATTACTCACTCCTATCCTCCAAATTAATGACAACGAGGAATATTTCTCCCATGTTTAACCTCACAGTAATTAGCATTGTAACATGCAAATCCTGGGGTATACCAGAGAATATTATGAAGAGTCGTCAGAAAATAAAAGAAGGTACTGAGTCATGAATAGGAAACGAACCAAGTACAGATTTGTGTACCCCGCTTTTGCATATATGTGCCTGGTCCCACGATGTAGCTAACTGACCGACACCGTATGTGATGTTGAAGTTAGACTTCGACCAGTGATTAACTATTATGAAACTGGGATTACTATATAAAGATCACTACCAATTACACAAAACTAAAAATCAAGAATAAAAACCTTGGGCAAAATAAATCTGGTAAATAACTGTTCCTTTTAGAAGCTGTCAGTCAGTCAGCTGAAACGTAAAACCTGGCACATATATGCATCGGTCCAAGTTGCCATACCTCATTAGCACAACAAGATGAACACCAGATTCATAGAAGTAGTTAATTCAATGGTGGTAATATATAGAAGAAAGATTGCGTATAAGGAGATAGTACAGGAAGAAAGAATTAGTTCCTAGAAAGAAAGATATGAAGTGATTTTAGTCTCTTAGTCTAAAGGAAAACAGAGAGTGTATACACCGACACCATTGTGATCGATTCTGAGCCATGTCACGAAGAGTCTCCAACCATTGGTTACGATTGTCACGCGGACTCCAACCAGGCATTCTGCATCTACCAACATGGCTCAGACCAGAAGTTAGTGTCTTCAAGCACTGATGCTACGTTTTGGTTCGGTCGCCCTAAATTCCTTCCAACCACCCCCAACACCGGTTAGCGTTGCGCATCGTGGTAATCGGTGTTCAAGCATACGTAACACGTGGCCTAACCATCTCAGTCGATGAAGATTCATATCCTCAGTATAATCCCCTCCAAATACGAATGGTGTAAATGGAGCTGACGATATGAATACATTTAAGCACACAAAATGGTCAAAACCTGCCGAACTTAAAAATGTGAATTTACTTATCGAGTGGTTGATGGTCTAGCTCACAGATACACGGATGTCAAGTACATAGCAGCCATTCTGTTCTGTAACACCAGCTGCACGCACACTACCCAAAACTTCAGGCCCTGGGATAATGTTTTTCTATCAGGAAAGTTTAATGCTTAAAATTCATTGCCAAACGTTATCGATCGCATTCACCATTCAATATAAGCGCATTTTGTACTTAAAAATTGCCAGTTCATATATCTTCCTGTTCCTTTCTATTCATATCCTCTCATACGAATAAAAGCAATAATAACAGAAGGGTAGAAATAATAGATTGATAGTAAAAGGAATTTAAATTTAAATTACCTAAGATATAGCTTATTGAGTTGTAATGGCCCAAACCATAGAGTAAGTCCAAAATAAGAGCATAAAGTATTAATCAAAAAAAAACATGGAAACTACACACGTTTTATAACGATAAATACAAAGGAGACGTAAGACAAAAAATAAACACTTGGTTTGAGAAAAATATCATGAATAAGTTCACCAAATACAGTATATTTATCTACGCAGATGAGTGATGACAATTTTAAATGTAAGATTACACAGTATTTAAAACTTAAGTATGACCAAAAGCCCCTTAAAATATAAGTACGCCTAAAAAGCATACAGTACTTCAGCTTCCTTACCACTAGATGATACATTGCAGTACTAATATGATAAACAAGTCGAATGAGTCTACTAGTATTCTGATTGAAATCGAGACCCTTTCTCGAAGGTAATTGCCAAATTTGTTGCAAAAGTAACGTTTACTTATTTATTGGTTTTATTTACATATTACTTATGTAAAAAATTTCAGGTCATCTGTGGTCAATACTTTGAATCTACGATCCAAACTAATACTGAAGTTTAGCCGCAAAAAACTCCAACTACTAAATAAACTATGTGTAAACATTATAAACGGCCTCATGGATCTGAGAAAATTTTTCGAACAGTGAAATACATCAAGCGACACTCAATACTGAGGGTTTGTTTCATATGGAACAAACCAATAGAAAATACATTATTTGCGCTTTTATTCATAATCAAATAAGCGGAACTATAGAAAACAAAAAGGAAAGAGCGAAATGCGACAAAACTGAGACCCTTAGTCACTGACGAAATGCTGACAAGCTAAACAAAGGAAGTGAAGCAAATAACGAAACACAACTTACTGAAGTAGCGCACCAATTTGAAGTCTTCAGTCTTCAGTAATAAGGATAGGAGGTCTATCGACCTGTATTAATCCTTGCAGTTTGTAATACTGTGGAGGTCCAATCTCGTCTTGAATATATCAACAGAAGGTGCTGATATTACGTGTTCCGGTAGAGAATTTCAATAATTCACTACTCGATGAGAGAGACGAAACTACAGACGTAAACGATTTGATCTCGGTTTTTGAATCTTTTCGAGTGTCCCCTCAAACGATCAGTCCTAGACGGAAGTAAAAGATAATACATGTTGATACCAAGGTCATCGTTCAGTATACGATAAGCCAATATTATATCACCCCGTATTCGACGGTAAGATAACGGAAATAAGTTAAGGTGTCTCAGTCTGTCTTCATAAGATAGTCCAGATAGACCTTGTACCATCTTAGTACCTCGTCGTTGGACTCGCTCTAGCATATCTGCTTCATACTTGAAACAAGGACTTGCTGCTTGAATCCCATATTCTAAATGTGGTCGCACATAAATAGGGTATAGTAATCTAAACATTTCATCATCTAAATACTGAAAAGACCTACGAACAGACCATAATACCCTATAGCCTTTCGCAGCAGCAGCCTTACAGTGACTAGTGGTTTTGAGATCACTACTTAATATTACTCCCAAATCTTTATAGTTTCTTACTTTGGGTAGTACGAATCCACGTATTGTATAGTGATACGATTCATCATTGTTATTTAATTGCATCACCACACTCTTATTAGGATTCACTTCAAGTGACCACCTGTCTAACCATGCCACCAATGAGCTAAGATCATTCTGTAATACTATCCTATCTGACATACTGTGTATGGGTCTCCAAATTTTTATGTCATCAGTGAATAGTAAAACGGATGATTTTGCTACAGTTGGTAATTCATCTACATAAAGTAAAAAGAGAAGAGGACCGAGGATTGTACCTTGGGGAACTCCACTTTTTACAGGTACCCACGAGGAAAGAGTTCCATTAACCCTTACCCTTTGTCTTCTGTCATGGAGAAAGTTACTTATCCAATCTGTATAATTGATTCCGAAGATTTCCGGCTTGAGTTTAAGACCAGAATGAAAGACCTTATCGAAAGCCTTACTTAGATCTATGAAGATCACATCTACCGGAATATTCTGATTTTTGCAGCAGCCTTATCTTCTCTTGCAACGAGAATATTTGTCAAGCACGATAGGTCTCTCCGAAAACCATGTTGTTCCCTGGAGAAAAGATTATGCCTTTCAACATAGTTTATAACAGATATACGAATGATTTTTTCCATCAGTTTTACAACTGCACTCGTTAAGCTAACGGGTCTATAGTTACTAAAGTGGTGAAGTTTTCTACGATGTTCAATTCCGAAACCAAGAGTGTCACGAAAATTCACTGACAAATATCCTTTCCCCCATTCCTTAGGAGAACCATTTTATAACTTTATTTTTTCTTAGGTTTTGATCAGTTCTCATGGAATCATATAAGGAAAGTGACTGCATTCTACAGTGAGCGATTCCAAAGGCAAATTATTTGGCCATACTTGGCTTATCACTCACATATAACGAGACGCGAGAAGAGACCGCTCAACTATTTTTAGTATCTAAATTCCTGTGTCACAAAACATACCACCACTCATTAACTTTTGCTCCTATTGGTCCCAAAATTGTAACCATGATCCAAGAACATGAGTATAATGGAGGCTTTCGAACAAATATTACGGCTACATCAAGTCAGTGGATGCTGCGTCTCCTAAAGACAGTCATAGAAATAATTACACTTTAATCTCAGCTTTCTATCCATTAACTAATCTGTTAATTCCAACCCTCATTGTCTCCTTCTTAGGGCAAATTCTACTTATAGCGCTAAGAAGGGTTTGTTGTCAACGACTGTAAGATCCACTTTGAGTGTTTTGTGTGTGAAAATCCCTCCACGTATACGCTTGCACTTTATACTTATTGATACCTTTGGTTGTACATTTTTGTTAGTCTTTTTCATTCCATTTGAGTTGATAGCATTTGTATTTTATTATAGTTTTTATTTTTCATACGCTTTTACTAAATTTCCGTGTTTTTTCCTGAACTGCATTTATGTTGTTTTACTTGATACTTATTCTTCGCGGCAGCCATATTGGTTTGTTCCTCCCTACTCCGTTAGTTAACCCTATTACTCTGTTTTGGTTTCAAACGGGCAAGGGCGCGTATCTAACCTACCAAGACAGCTATTCTTCAGTCCAAACCTTAGTTTGGATCTTACAACGACGCCTCCAGTTATTAACATTTCAGTCTTCTATCATCTGTAAGGCAGTTTAGTTTACAATTCTCCGTGTATGTGTACTTGTGTACATGTATACATGATAGTAGTCATGTAGGGTCATTCTGTTTACATTCGGACTGTACTGCATTTATGTTGTTTTACTTGATACTTATTCTTGGCAGCAGCCATATTGGTTTGTTCCTTCCTTTGATTGTGTTGCGTGCATTGACTGGAATTTTGCATTTTTGATTGTGAAGCGAAGCACTCTTTCAGAATTGAAAACACTTGGTGTTATAAAGCAACCAAACATTATCTCTTCAACAAATCTGTGTGTGACCTATCCAGACAGGAGAGAAGCGAATTTATTTGTTGCTATTGGTAATTTTCTAGCATCTTTTTTCAACTTTCTTATTTATTGCAATTTAGATTTGATTAATTGAACTATTGCTGGTTGAATAGCTGGGTGGTTATACTTGTTTAGGTAACGATGTACTTTTAAATTTATGATAAATTATGGAACTGTAGTGACCTACTTTTGTCAACAGAACGCGATTGGTTCAATGAAAACAATTATTATCATAACCAATTGTACCAGTGACTGTTTTACTGTGTTCGTTTGTTTGACTATGCTAATGACAGCCATTACAATTACTCTCCCGCTGACTTTGAACTTGTGCGAATTCGCTTACGTTTAGTAACCACGCTTGTACTCCTTTGGCACGATCTCGGTATTCTTTCGATACCACGAGATCGCCAACAAATACATCTTGACTAAAGCCATCATCTGCCTTCTGATATTGGCCTACGGGGATCTTATAAGTTAATTGGCACGTAGTCTTGTAGTGGTGTTCATAGTCAATCGCGACTCGACTCCACGCTACAATTGGTGAGCCAAATCTGGGAACACGTCTCAACCTCGGTCAAATCTTCCAAAGAAAGTAATTCGGTGAGCCTATTGTTTATCTATCCACGTCTGTCGTATATTTTCATACTAATTTTTAATATATAATACACTCGATATGACGGATAGCGATAAGAATAGTATTAATATAATAGACTTCGATGTACGTGTACCGAATCCTCGGCACTTTTTATTCGCGTGACGATAAATTCCACGCTTTATTCAAGAAATTCCCCAGAATAACTAAACCACTCGAGGAGATTTCATCGGTGACCAATCGTGTGGTACACCACATAGTCATCCGCGGACCACCATTCACGGCAAGACCACGCCGACTGGCACCGGACAAATTAGCCTTCGCTAGACGTAAATTTGACAATTTAGTATCTGCTGGTATTATTCGTTCTTCTCACAATCCCTGGGCCTCTCCTCTTCATATGGTGCGCAAAAAGGATGAGGTCAGTTGGAGACCATGCGGCGACAACCGAGCTTTAAACGTAGTTACGCACTTTGATAGCTACCCCATCCCCCACATACACGACATCACGGCATCGCTCAAGGGCACGACTATCTTTTCTAAAATCGATCTGGTACGAGCATATCACCAGATCCCAGTCGCTCTTGAAGACACCGAAAAAACTGCTATCACAACTTCTTTCGGTCTGTTTGAGTTCCTACGAATGCCATTTGAATTACGGAATGCTGCTAAAACTTTCCAAAGGTTTATCGATAGCATAGTACGAGACTTGGATTTTGTTCACGTCTATATTGATGACCTGCTGATCGCATCATCAAACGTAGATGAACATTATCAACATCTTACGCTATTATTCCAACGCCTCTCGGATAATGGAATTGGGTAAACCAGAAATAATATTTTTGGGTCACATCATCAGACAAGAGGGTATTCTGCCTTGCGAGGACAAAGTTCGAGCAATCAAGGAGTACAACGTGCCGTCCTCACTCAAGGAACTGAAGGCTTTTCTCGGTTTGGTTAACTTCTACCGACGTTTCATGCCGCACGCGGTAGAACGGTTACGACCATTAACCGATTTACTACGCGGTAATCCACGCAAGTTAGAATTGAACGATACCGCACGTACTGCATTTTCAGATATCAAAACGGCACTCTCGTTGGCAACCGCTTGAATTTTTCTCACGACGCCTTACTTCCACGGTGACGAGGTAAAGCGCTTTTGGTCGCGAACTGTTAGCAGCCTACTGTGCCATCAAACATTTCCGGCACGCGGTAGAAGGTCGTAATTTCATCTTATTCGCCGACCACAAGCCCTCAACGTATGCCCTGCATACCAAGTCTGACCGCTATTCACCACGAGAGTGCAGACATTTGGACTATATCTCCCAGTTCAAGACAGACCTTCGTCACATCAAAGGTGAATCGAACTATGTTGCCGATGCTCTTTCACGTATCCAGACGAATGCAGTTACTTTACCGGTGCTCGATCTTCCTGCTATGGCCGCCGCGCAAGTAAACGATCCCTTCTGTACAGAAGCATCACAATCTTCGTCCCTTCAGTGCCAGGAAGTACCCCTGGCTACTAGCTCAGGTACTGTCCTATGTGATACTTCTACCGGTCTTCCTCGACCCATCGTACCCTCTACCTATCGCCGTCTCGTCTTCGATGCCCTTCATGGATTGTCTCATCCAGGTATCGCAGCCACATTACTTCTCGTCGCTGCACGATACGTCTGGCCGTCCATGAATAAAGATGTTCGTATGTGGGTAAAGCAATCCCTACAGTGTCAACGATCAAAAGCGCACAGGCATGTAGCTGCCCCCATTGGCACGTTCGCTACACCTGATGCTCGCTTTGATCACATTCATATAGACATTGTAGGA